GGTATGGGTGGGCACAGTGGACAGGTACAAGGGTGTGCATGGGGGTCGAGGCAGTGTCAAGGCCAGCTGCAGGGTGTGTGGATGGTGGCCAGTCAGAGTGAGGAAGCCAGCTGCTGTGTGAGCCTGGGTGTAGAGGTGGGACTGGTATAAGGGGTGGGTTCAGTAGGGGGCATCGAGGTGACACCTAGAAATGTATGCACCGTCAGGGGATGCCCTGGGGTGTGTGGGCCTGCAGGGCCTGGTACTGTATCGTGGGAGTGTCTGGGGGCACCTGAAGGAGGGGGCAATGAGGGGTGCTGGGTGTGGACAGGAATGCATGGGCACAGGAGAGTGGGGGTGCATAAGGCCTCTCTGGCTGCAGGGGCGTGAGGGTGGGGGTGGTGGGTAGGAGGGTGTAGGGCTGAGTACGAACAGGTGTGGGGTGCAGAGACTCTGGGTTGGGGTTACAGAGGGTCCTGGGAGGGGTAGGGACAGCAGCGGCTGAGGGCTGGTGCTGGGTGGCCCGGGCAGGCACTCACCATGGAAGGCACGCAGGTAGTTGTTGCCCAGGTACACCAGGTTCTCCAGGGCGGGGTTAAACTGCTCCATGATGCTCTGGAAGGCGGGGGCCAGGAGGGAAAAGGGGTGGAGATGGGGGAGGGAGACAAAACCATGGACAGAACCAAGTCACCGGGCATCAGGGGCAGGGCACCCCCAGCCCAGTGAGAAGCCCTCAGACTTTGGGGAGCCCACCTACAAACCTAGGCTCATCCAGAATCCTGGCTCTCAGCTGCAGGGGCCTCAGATCCCATTTTTGGGGTCCTGTTCCAAGCTATGGTCCCCTCGCAGCCAGCTCCTGCTCACACCTGCTCTGGCGGGACCGAGGTGCCTCCTGAGATAATGCACCAGGAAGGTTCCCCTCCTCCCGCTGGGCTGAAGCAGGCCCACCAGCTATGGTCCCCACTGAGCACGGCTCAGCCCTACCCTGGGTCCAGGCTTTGCTGAGCCAGACACATGGGGCTGCCAACAGTTGCCCCAGCGGCAAGGGCAGCTCTCGCCCTCCTCCAAGAAGACCCCACCATGGGCATGACTGTGGCTGGATGAGTGTGGGCCACCCCGGGCGGGGGCCAGTGGAGGGCTCCCTGGATGGTGGAGACCATCCTGGACTATGGCTTGGACTTGGACTTGGGTCTTGGTTCAAATCCCAGCAGCAACTCTTCCTCCCTTCATGACCTTGAATGAGCTGTTTAACCTCTTTGGTCTCAGTTTTCTCATCTATCAAACAGGGTGATCATTTTCTACTTCACAGGTGGGTGGTGTGAGGCTTACAGGTGCACACAGGAGGTGCTCAACAACTGTCTGTGGAGACCAGCAACCCCCTGGGGTAAGCAGGAAGTCTGAGTGAGGGGCTCAGAAGTGAGAGAAAGAGTCTTTATTCTCAGGCCGGGCGGCCGGGCCCTTCTCATCGGGACTCTCAACAATCCCCGCCATGGGTTCCTGGGCCCCCTCCTGCCTTGTCCAGCACCTGGGAGTTGGGAATTCCTGCTGAGTGTGTGGCTGAGTGCTCTTAGGGATCCTCACCCCCATACCCACCCCTGGCCCAGCCTGGCTCCAGGCTTCCCTTCCAAGGACACCTGCAGCCCCGGCTGGCCCTCCGTCCTCCAGAGCAGGCCTGACTTCTGCGCCCTAAGAGGAGGGGCTGGGGCCCTGGCTCAGCTGCCATGTGCTCACCTTGTAGATGGCCATGGTGGACCTATAGAACTGGTCCATCTCGGGGGCCATGGGACGGCTGTCGCCTGGTCTGAGCAGGAGGCTGGGAGCTAGGTGGCGATGGCCCAGCTGGGAGCAGTGGTGGGTGGTCTCTCAGGCGCCCACGGCTTGGCCAGCAATGAGGAAGCTGCAGAGTGGGACCTGGAGATGGAGGCCTGCCTCAGAGGAGGTGGCAGCTTAATTATTCACCAGCTGGGGATGTCAGAATGCGATCTGGGGCGTAACCGGACCTGGCGGGGAAGGCATCCTGTGACGGGCAGGCTCGTGTGACCTGCCCTTCAATTATTCACCCTTAGGAGCCGTGGGCTGGTACAAGTGCCCATGTGGATGAGCCCTCCCCTTCCTGAATCACCCCCTTCTTAAGGACCCTGACCCTGGGGGCCCCGCCCTCCCACCTGCCTATACCGGGCATTGCCCACCTTACTGGGTTGGTGCTGCCTGATGCCCTGCCCCAGGACCCTCCCTGCCAGACCCACAGAGGCAGCCCTGGAGGGGAACAGCTCTGCTCCTCACTGTCCTCAGGCCTGCGGCTCACGGTAGGGCCGCACCCTCTGTGGCTCCCACAGCCTCTCTGGCCCCCACACCCTCTGTGGCTCCCACAGCCTCTCTGGCCCCCACACCCTCTGTGGCTCCCACAGCCTCTCTGGCCCCCACACCCTCTGTGGCTCCCACAGCCTCTCTGGCCCCCACACCCTCTGTGGCTCCCACAGCCTCTCTGGCCCCCACACCCTCTGTGGCTCCCACAGCCTCTCTGGCCCACCCAACTCCTCCACTTGCTGGAGCTGGAGTCGCCCAACCCTGGGCTGACCTTGGCCCTGCCCACGCGCCGCCTGTCTGTGCGGAGTCCCCGGTCTCTCTGGGTGGCAATACCCTCGTCTGCCAAGATGAGGTTGAGGATTGTGGCCCCCTTGGGCCTGCCTGGGGAATGTGGACCTGGCAGCTGCCTCTGAACACCCTAAGGGCCAGTTTAGGGGAGACCTAGAGGAAAGAGGAAGTGTCCCCGCCCAGGGGTCCTGGAAAACAAGAGTGTCTGGATATACAAAGGAAAAGGTGGGTCAAGGCTGAGAGGAGCGGGGAACTCACACCACAGCACACACAGCACACACGGCACACACGGCACACACAGCACAGCACACACGGCACACACGGCACACGGCACACACAGCACAGCACATACGGCACACACGGCACACACAGCACAGCACACACAGCACACAGGGCACACACAGCACAGCACACATGGCACACACAGCACAGCACACACAGCACAGCACACATGGCACACACAGCACAGCACATACGGCACACACGGCACACAGAACACACAGCACACGGCACACAGCACAGCACACACGGCACACACAGCACACACGGCACACACAGCACACACGGCACACACAGCACACACGGCACACGGCACACACAGCACAGCACATACGGCACACACAGCACACACGACACACACAGCACACACGGCACACACGGCACAGGGCACACACAGCACAGCACATACGGCACACACGGCACACACAGCACACGGCACACACAGCACAGCACACACGGCACACACAGCACACAGGGCACACACAGCACAGCACACATGGCACACACAGCACAGCACACACAGCACAGCACACATGGCACACACAGCACACAGGGCACACACAGCACACATGGTACACACAGCACACGGCACACACAGCACAGCACACACAGCACACGGCACACACAGCACAGCACACATGGCACACACGGCACACACAGCACAGCACATATGGCACACACAGCACACGGCACACACAGCACAGCACATACGGCACACACAGCACAGCACACACGGCACACACAGCACACGGCACACACGGCACACATGGCACACACAGCACAGCACACACGGCACACACGGCACACAGCACACGGCACACACGGCACACACAGCACACGGCACACACAGCACACGGCACACACAGCACACGGAACACACGGCACACACAGCACACACAGCACACAGCAAGCACACACGGCACACACAGCACACACGGCACACACAGCACAGCACACACGGCACACACAGCACACACGGCACACACAGCACACGGCACACACAGCACATGGCACACACGGCACACACAGCACACGGCACACACAGCACAGCACACACGGCACACACAGCACACGGCACACACAGCACACATGGCACACACAGCACAGCACACATGGCCCACACAGCACACACGGCACACACAGCACACACGGCACACACGGCACACACAGCACACACGGCACACAGAGCACACAGCACACACGGCACACACAGCACACGGCACACACAGCACAGCACACACGGCATACACAGCACACGGCACACACAGCACACATGGCACACACAGCACAGCACACATGGCACACAGCACACACGGCACACACAGCACACACGGCACACACAGCACACACGGCACACACAGCACACGACACACACAGCACAGCACACACGGCACACACAGCACACACGGCACACACAGCACACGACACACACAGCACAGCACACGGCACACACAGCACACACGGCACACACAGCACACGACACACACAGCACAGCACACACGGCACACACAGCACACACGGCACACACAGCACACGGCACACACAGCACACACGGCACACACAGCACACGGCACACACAGCACACATGGCACACACAGCACACAGCACACAGCACAGCACACACAGCACAGCACACACGGCACACACAGCACACAGCACACACAGCACGGCACACACGGCACACACAGCACACGGCACACACAGCACAGCACACACGGCACACAGCACACACGGCACACACGGCACACAGCACACACGGCACACATGGCACACAGCACACACGGCACACATGGCACACACAGCACACACGGCACACACAGCACACACAGCACACACGGCACACACAGCACACACGGCACACACAGCACACGGCACACACAGCACAGCACACACGGCACACAGCACACACGGCACACACGGCACACAGCACACACGGCACACATGGCACACACAGCACACACGGCACACACAGCACACACGGCACACACAGCACACGGCACACACAGCACAGCACACACGGTACACACAGCACAGCACACACGGCACACAGCACACATGGCACACACGGCACACACAGCACACACGGCACACAGCACACGGCACACACAGCACAGCACACACGGTACACACAGCACACACAGCACAGGTGCATTTGAATCCAAATGGTTTATTTCAGGGTTTTGGCTCGTAAGCCACTTCCATTGGGAAGAATAAGCTCCCCACAGAGTGACCTTTGAGAGCTGAGAGTTCTTGGGGTTCGGCAGCTGAGGGGCTGGGTCAGAGTGAGGAGCAAAGTCCAACGGGCATCCCGCTCCTGCGGCCTGGGCTTTCCTGGCTGATGGGGTGGGGGCACCATGTTTTTCTAGCTCCAGACTCCTGGGAACAGGGCAGAGGGCAGAGGGAGTGGGTTGCACCCACCAGGAAGCCTGGGAGTGCCCTTGCTGGAGGCTCGGGCTGGGGCAGGGTATGGCTGCACCCGGGTACCCGTAGTGTTTGAGCTGATGGGGGAGTCAGCTGTCTTATACAGTCGGGAAAAGGGGCCAATGGGGGCTCCAGACTTTCCCAGCCTGAAATGACAGAAGTGCTGGAACAGGGGCTTGAGGGAGAGTGGCCTCCAGGACCAGCTCAGGCAGGCAGCTTGGGACCCTCCCAGGCCTGGTCTATGGACGCAGAGCTGCCTGGGCCCAGATCTGCCTGGGAGGGCAGTGGGTGGGCCTGGCCTGGGTACCACAGCAGGGGCTGAGTGGACGAGGTCAGCTGGGATGGTGCAAGGCCGGAGGCCCTCAGGGTGACAGCAGCAGCCGGATAAGCTTCTGGAACTCCTCCCGGTGTTCATAGATGTAGACCTCGGTCTCCCAGAGGGCGTTGACCAGCACTGTGTCGCTGACCTCATCCAGCATGATGTCCGTCCCCAGCTGGGGGTTCAATCTGTCCGGGCCAAGGAGGAGGGGGTCACCCTAGGATGCTCAGGCTGGGCAGGGGACAACAACTAGGACCAGGGTGTGCTCGGGGAACAGAGAAGGCCCTCGGGGAAAGGGAGAGTCCACACCAGAGCTGGGAGGGTAAGGGCGGTGGGTCTGACCAGGCCAGGTCGAGGGGCTGAGGGGGGCCGGGGGGGCGGGGGCTGAGGGCCAGGGGTGGGCTGAGCCCTCACCTGAAGTACTGGATGCCGACCATCTCGCACCAGGCCCGGGCCCGGTCCACAGCCCGCCCATCTGGATCCGTGCACTGGTGAGAAGCAGGCTTGGTGAGCGCCCAGCTCACACCTGTCCAGCCCTGCCATGCACTCCCAGAGACCCCGCCTGGGGACCCCCAGGCTCTTTGAGTCAGCCTGAGCCACACAGCAGCAGAGTGGCTGGGACAAGACCCCTTCCTGGGACTGCAGAGACAGTCCCAGCTGTGCAATCAGAGGGGCAGGGGTCTCAGCAGAGCCCCTTCAGGGTTGGTGAGTTGGGGAAAGGGTAGCAGCTGAGTGGACAGGCCTCCATGTCTCCTCTCCCTGAAGTTCCTTTGTTTCTTTTGTTCTTTTTTCTCTTTTTACCCTTTCTTTTTTTTTTTTTTTGAAACAAGATCTCTCTCTGTTGCCAGGCTGGAGTGCAGTGGCGCAATCACAGCTCACTGCAGCCTCTGCCTCTTGGGCTTAAGCTGTCCTCCCCCTCAGCCTCCTGAGTAGCTGGGACCACAGGCACACACCACCATGCCTGGCTAAGTTTTAATTTTTTTGTGGAGATGAAGTCTCACTATATTGCTCAGGCTGGTCTCGAACTCCTGGGCTCAAGTGATCTGCCCACCACAGCCTCCCAAAGTGCTGGGATTATAGGGGCAAGCCACCTGGGCGGGCCCACTCTGGAGCTTCTGTCCACCCTGGGCTTCTACACAGTGCTATGTTTGCAGAAAGGCATCCACAGCTACAACGTGTTTGAAAACGCCCCTGCTGGTGGTCTCTGAGGGGCCCTGCCTTGCACTGAGACTCTGAACTGGGAACTCTCTCTCCAGCTGGCTAAATCTCTATTGTCTCCCCTGACACCAAAGGTCCCACAGTATGAGGGGGAAGCCATCAACCTGGGCTGCAGACCCTGAGGGAAGTGGTCTGGGGGAGGGGCCCACACTCACACAGTCCACCACCATCTTGCCCAGTTCCTTGGCCCCAAAAACAGTCTTGGCCAGTTCCCAGGGGTTGCTGGGACGGAAGACATCCACACAGGTCACAGGCACCTGTGGGGACCTCCCTGTCCCCAGGGAGACAACGATGGAGAGTTTCTTCACCTTGTTGGCCTGACCCTGTTGGGGACAGGACAGGGGCAGTCAGAGGGGATCTTCCACAGGCAGGGGACACACAGAGGAGTGTCAAGGGGAGGCCCAAGGCTGGGCTCTGGGGCACATGAGGACAGGGCAAGAGGCCTCTCGTGGCAAGAGCACACCTGGCATGATTTCCAACCAGCCCCTCGCAGGCCCCCCAGAAGGCCTGGTGCAGGTGGCATGTGCCATCTGTGTAGCAACAGGACCACACATACACCAGCTGCAAAAAGGATCCTGCCCACCCCATCCGATACTGGCCCAAGTCAAGTCGAGGCTAGGGGAGGAAAGGCAGACAGTATTCCTCGGTGTCTGTGATTTGCCAGTGTTTGCATCATGACTTCATTTAACCTCCCGTCAGTCTGTGGAGCGGGCACTGATCACCCAGTTTGCAAATGAGGACTCTCAGCAAAGATGAGGCCCAGAAGCAACTGCCCAGGCCACATGGTAGGGAAGTAGGGGCTAAGGCTTGAACCCAGGCCCTGGGTGCTGCCTCTCGTTTGTTTCAGAACAAGCTCTGCAGCCGATTTGCTGGATGATCTTGAGTGATGCCCCCCACTCCGGCTCCGAGGCTCCCCATCCGCATGCAATAGGAGAGTTAGACTGGCTGGTGTCTGACAGTCTGCTGCCTGCAGGAAGCCTGCCCTGCCTGATCTGGCCCCTAGAGGGCGCTCCCCTCCCCTAGCCAGAGCCTCTGCTTCGCCTGCACAGCAAGGATGGAGCTCAAGTTCCAGGCTCTGCTGTGACCATTTCACAGACAACAGCATGCCAAGGCCTCCCAGCCTCCTCAGGGAGACACCGTGATGGCCCCATTCAGTAGCTGCAGTGAAGCATGGGTAGAACTGGGACGCCCTCCGAGGTGCTCTGGCTCCAAGGCTGGAGCTCAGCCACCGAGCTCACTCCCCACTGCTTTCAGCTGTACCTCAGGCAAGGGCAGCTGCTCTTCCTCCAGATCACTGATTCTGCACTGACCTGTCCCCAAAGTCCTCAGGATGGGTCCCCTGTTCCATGGAGCCCTTTCCGAGCCCCCAGATCTTTCAGCAGAGGCATCACGGTCCTCCACCACGGCACCAGCAACCCGTGGGGGCGCATGCTCCTGTTGGACTGTCTCTCCACAGAGGTGAGCTCAGGGGCAAGCAGGTGTCCTATCCCCAGGCTGACCAGAGTGGCCCGTTCATGGTATGCGTGCTGCCCTCCCCACTCCTGCACCGTTAGAGCACAGTGGGCCTCAGACCCCGTCTTAGCACAGTGCTTCAGGCAGACCCCACCCACAGCACAGGTTCCAGTGACATCAAGTTGCCCTGCATGCACATATGAATGAGTACGTGTGTAAAAACCACCTGCCGTCCTGGGGGTTGGTCCCTAGCATGGTTTGCTGGAGCAGGGTGGGCCCTCTGGCCTGAGGCACTCACCTTGCGGATCAGGTCTTGATTGTACTCATGGATCTCAGTCATGGCGTCCAGAGTGGGGTTGTTGGCCAGCAGCCCGCCGTCCAGGAAGCGTCCATTGGGTCGGAAGTAAGTGGGGGCTGCCCCGCTGCTTCGGGCTGCCCGCCACACCAGTTGGTCTGGGGGCGGGAAGGGAGGGCGCCCCAGGGGCATAAGGGACTGGTATAAAACCCATGCACTCAGATCTCAAGGTGTAGACCCACCAGGTCACACTGTCTGGCCAATTCATCCTGGTGGAAGGCAGGTCTAGCTAAGGACTTGCCAGGGACTTTTCTAACCTGCTGGGGACCTGACAGCTCCCGCGCCCCACCAGCCCCTGCAATCCCTGTCCTCAGCCAATAAAGACCAGCACAGTGGGTGGGTCAGTGGCAAGGGCAGGGCTCCCACCCGGCAGCCCACAGCTTCTCAGGCTAGTCACTCCCCATGGATGCATCAAACACAGTTTAAACCTGAGGGCTGAGTTGGAGGCCTGAGGTTAACGTTCTGGTTGAAACGAGGCTCCCGGACAGTTTCTGGAGCCTCGTAGTTCCGGAAGAGGTGGAGTTCAGCTGGCTGCCGGTCAGACAGTGTCCCTGTCAGCATCACCCTGGAGAGAAATGAGGCGGGAGGACCACGGAGCCACCCATCCACCCACCTTTCCCCTTCCCTGACATTCTCAGCCCAGGCCTTGGGTAGTACAGTGCCTGCTCCAACCTCTGTTCAGGATGGGTGGGCTTCTCCCCCCAGCAGCCCCCGAAAACAAGCACTCTCCAGCAGTGCTGGGGAAGTGTCAGATTGGTCCAACCTTGGGAGGGTAATTCAGTAAAAGCTGGTTTTTTTGAAAGGCCAATCCAGCCGGGTGTGGTGGCTCATGCCTGTAATCTCAGCACTTTGGGAGGCCGAGGCGGGCAGATCACCTGAGGTTGGGAGTTTGGGACCAGCCTGATCTACATGGAGAAACCCCATCTCTAAAAATACAAAATTAGTTGGGCGTGGTGGTGTATGACTGTAGTCCCAGCTACTTGGGAGGCCGAGGCAGGAGAATCTCTTGAACCCAGGAGGCGGAGGTTGCGGTGAGCCAAGATCGTGCCATTGCACTCCAGCCTGGGCAACAAGAGCGAAACTCCACGTCAAAAGAAAAAAAAGAGAGAAAGGCTAATCCGATGGAAAAGCCTGTGGCAAGACTGATAAAAGATGTCTGTTATCTGTTATCAGAATCAGGAAAGAAAAGGGGGCCGTCACAACTGACGCTGCAGGCATTAGAAAAGAGTATTTTGAGCGACTCTATGTCCGTAAGCTTGAAGACTGAGATGAAAGGGCCGCATGCCTAGAAAACCCTCACTTAACCAAAACTAACTCAAAAGGGATTTAGAAACCCTGAGTAGTCTTATAACCACTAAAGAAATAACTCCATCATCAAAAATCTTCCCAGCAAGCAAACTCCAGGCCTAGAGAATTTACTATCAAGGGCTACCGTAAGTTCAAAGTAAAGTCACTATTACACTAACTCTTTCAGAAAAAAATAAAAAGAGGAAATATTCCCTCAAAACCCAAAATAGGAAAAAACGGGTCAAGCTCATCCACAAGCACGAGCACGGACACAAAATTTCTTTTTTGTTTTTGAGACAGAATTTTGCTCTGTTGCCCAGACTGGAGGGCCGTGTTGTGATCTCGGCTCACCGCAACCTCTACCTCCCAGGTTCAAGCAATTCTCCTGCCTCAGCCTCCTGAGTAGCTGGGACTATAGGCACCTGCCACCATGCCTGGCTATTTTTATTTTTTTATAGAGATGGGGTTGCACCATGTTGCCTAGGCTGGTTTCAAACTCCTGAACTCAGGCAATCTGCCCACCTTGGCCTCCCAAAGTGCTGAGATTACAGGCGTGAGTCACCGAACCTGGCCACACAAAAATCTTAAACAAAACATTAGCAAACGGAACCCATCAGAATTCTCTCTAGAGGTAATACAGAGTAGGCCTCAAACTGGTATTTGCGCACCCTATGTTCACAGCAGCGTGATTTATAACAGCCAAAAAGGAGGCAACAGATCCATCTGGATGAATGGAGAAGCAAAACATGGTGGATACAGACAACAGAATGTTATTCAGCCTTAAAAAGGAAGGAAATTCTGAGTGCAGTGGCTCACGTCTGTAATCGCAACACTTTGGGAGGCTGAGGTGGGCGGATCACCGGAGGTCAGGAGTTCGAGACCAGCCTGACCAACATGGAGAAACCCTGTCTCTACTAAAAAAAAAAAAAAAAAAATACAGGCCCAGCTCGGTGGCTCACGCCTGTAATCCCAGCACTTTGGGAGGCCGAGGCGGATGGATCATGAGGTCAAGAGATCGAGACCATCCTGGTCAACATGGTGAAACCCCGTCTCTACTAAACATACAAAAAATTAGCTGGGCATGGAGGTGCGTGCCTGTAATCCCAGCTACTCAGGAGGCTGATGGGGGAGAATTGCCTGAATCCAGGAGCCGGAGGTTGTTGTGAGCCGAGATTGTGCCATTGCACTCCAGCCTGGGTAACAAGAGCAAAAAAAAAAAAAAGACAAAAAAATCAGCCGGGTGAGGCAGTGCATGCCTGTAATCCCAGCTACTTGAGAGGTGGAGGCAGGAGAATTGCTTGAACCCAGCAACAGAGTTCTGACACATGCTACAACATGAACGCCAAGTGAAATAAGCCAGTCACAAAAAGACAAACCCTGTACGATTCCACTTACATAAGGTAAGGTCAAAGATAACACTGCAACTGATTTAAATGTATCAGTTGGCTTTCACTGACGAAATGAGAGTCAGGCAGCCCGCAGAACCAGCTTATGGTCGAAGAACGCCAGCCTGCATGTGGTCAGGCGAGGCTGACGGACTGAAAACAAAGTGAGGTGTGGAGCTTGACTGGTTTGCCTTGTTCAAATCAGCTGCCCACCTGCGACTGACGAAACATGGACTGTTGCAGCTAACCCGAGCTCAGCTCCTGTACATGGGTGTGTGCCTAAGCTAACCAGGTTGTAGCTAACCCAAGCTCAGCTCCTGTACATGGGTGTGTGCCTAAGCTAACCAGGTTGTAGCTAACCCGAGCTCAGCTATTGTACATGGGTGTGTGCCTAAGCTAACCAGGTTGTAGCTAACCCGAGCTCAGCTATTGTACATGGGTGTGTGCCTAAGCTAACCAGGTTGTAGCTAACCCGAGCTCAGCTATTGTACACGGGTGTGTGCCTAAGCTAACCAGGTTGTAGCTAACCCGAGCTCAGCTATTGTACACGGGTGTGTGCCTAAGCTAACCAGGTTGTAGCTAACCCGAGCTTGGCTACTGTACATGGGTGTGTGCCTAAGCTAAGCAGGTTGTAGCTAACCCGAGCTCAGCTCCTGTACACGGGTGTGTGCCTAAGCTAAGCAGGTTGTAGCTAACCCGAGCTCAGCTACTGTACATGGGTGTGTGCCTAAGCTAACCAGGTTGTAGCTAACCCGAGCTCAGCTACTGTACATGGGTGTGTGCCTAAGCTAAGCAGGTTGTAGCTAACCCGAGCTCAGCTACTGTACACGGGTGTGTGCCTAAGCTAAGCAGGTTGTAGCTAACCCGAGCTCAGCTACTGTACACGGGTGTGTGCCTAAGCTAACCAGGTTGTAGCTAACCCGAGCTCAGCTCCTATACACGGGTGTGTGCCTAAGCTAACCAGGTTGTAGCTAACCCGAGCTCAGCTACTGTACACGGGTGTGTGCCTAAGCTAACCAGGTTGTAGCTAACCCGAGCTCAGCAATTGTACACGGGTGTGTGCCTAAGCTAACCAGGTTGTAGCTAACCCGAGCTCAGCTACTGTACATGGGTGTGTGCCTAAGCTAACCAGGTTGTAGCTAACCCGAGCTCAGCTACTGTACACGGGTGTGTGCCTAAGCTAACCAGGTTGTAGCTAACCCGAGCTCAGCTACTGTACACGGGTGTGTGCCTAAGCTAACCAGGTTGTAGCTAACCCGAGCTCAGCTATTGTACATGGGTGTGTGCCTAAGCTAAGCAGGTTGTAGCTAACCCGAGCTCAGCTACTGTACATGGGTGTGTGCCTAAGCTAACCAGGCTGTAGCTAACCCGAGCTCAGCTACTGTACACGGGTGTGTGCCTAAGCTAACCAGGTTGTAGCTAACCCGAGCTCAGCTACTGTACACGGGTGTGTGCCTAAGCTAACCAGGTTGTAGCTAACCCGAGCTCAGCTACTGTACATGGGTGTGTGCATAACCTAGCCAGGTTGTAGCTAACCCGAGCTCAGCTCCTGTACATGGGTGTGTGCCTAAACTAACCAGGGTCACTTAGCATGAGTGACTCTGCACTGGTTTGGTCTGTTGGGCCTCGTCCAGAATCCTGGTCCAAATCAATTACCTCCTACAAATTTTACTCAGAAGTACTCGGAGTCATCAAACTCACAGGAAAAGAAAGTGAAATGGTGGTTCCTATTTGAGCACTTCTGAGTGATCTTCTCACGTGCTGAAAACGAGTCCTTTGATGGATGCACAGCTCTGAAATCTTTTCTCCCACTCTGTGGTTTGTCCTTTCACTCCCTTTATGGTGTTTTTGTTTATTTATTTGAGGGTACCCAGGTTTGTAATGCAGTAGAATTTATAAATATTTCTCTTTTGATAGTCTGTGTGTTTTGTTTTCAAGACAGGGTCTCACTCTATTGCCCAGGCTGGAGTGCAGTGATGTGATCACAGCTCACTGCAGCCTCAGCCTCCAGGGCTCAAGCGATCCTCCCACCTCAGCCTCTCAAGTAGCTGGGACTACAGCCATGTGCCACCATGCCCAGATAACTGTTAGTTTAAATTTTTTTAATAGAGATGAGGGTCTCACTATGTTGTCCAGGCTGGTCTTGAACTCCTGGCCTCAAGTGATCCTTGCACCTCAGCCTCCCAAAGAGCTGGGATTACAGGCTTGAGCCACTATGTCTGGCATGTTCCTATTTTTAAGAGGAAACTTCGGGGCCCATGCTTCCCCTTCCCTTCTTCTCATTACTGCCTCCAAGAATAGCCCTGATGTTCTTGAAGAAGGCCAGTGGAGGATCTGCCACCCAGAGACACCAGGACTCATCACACAGCTGCAATCATTTAGGCTCTGTGGCCCGGGCACAGGGACAGCTTTCCAACCAGTGGAACAAAACATAGCCCGGAGCCGATCCAAGCGCAGAGGGATGCTTGACCCACTGCTGAGGAAGCAAGCCCCACGGATGCGAGGGAAAGACGGACTTCACAGATGGAGCTGGGAAACCGGCCGGTTATGTGGAAAACATCGGCCGGTCTCGGACTTCACCCTCATGCGAAAATCAATTCCAGGTGATAGACCTAAACGTAAAAGGCAGATCCAGAGAGCTTTCCAACTTGACACAGGAGAACTGTGTGCCGCCTGGGGATAGCTGAAGGTTCGTGAATGAGACATCAAAAGCACAGACTAGGCTGGGCACAGTGGCTGATGCTTGTAATGGGAGGCGGAAGCGGGAAGATCGCCTGAGCTCAGGAGTTCGAGACTAGCCTGCGCAACATGGTGAAACTTCATCTCTACAAAAAATACATGATTTAGCCGGGTGTGGTGGCACATGCCTGTAGTCCCAGCTACTAGGAGGCTGAGGTGGGAGGACTGCTTGAGCCCAGGAGGTCAAGGCTGCAGTGAGCTGTGTTCATGGCAATATACTCCAGCCCAGGCCCCAGAGCAAGACCCTGTTTCAAAAAGGAAAAAAAAAGGAAAAGGAAAGCGGGAGGGGAGGGAGGAGGAGGGAGGGGAAGGGGAAGGTGAAGGGAGGAGGGAGGGGAGGGAGGAGGAGGGAGGGGAAGGGGAAGGGGAAGAGAGGAGGGAGGGGAGGGAGGGGAAGGGGAAGGGAGGAGGGAGGGGAAGGGGAAGGGAGGAGGGAGGGGAAGGGGAAGGTGAAGGGAGGAGGGAGGGGAAGGGGAAGGGAGGAGGGAGGGGAGGGAGGAGGAGGGAGGGGAAGGGGACGGGAGGAGGGAGAGGAGGGAGGAGGAGGGAGAGGAGGGAGGAGGAGGGAGGGGAGGGAGGAGGAGGGAGGGGAGGGAGGAGGAGGGAGGGGAAGGGGAAGTTGAAGGGAGGAGGGAGGGGAGGGAAGAGGAGGGAGGGGAAGGGGAAGGTGAAGGGAGGAGGGAGGGGAGGGAGGAGGAGGGAGGGGAGGGAGGAGGAGGGAGGGGAGGGAGGAGGAGGAGGGAGGGAAGGGGAAGGTGAAGGAGGAGGGAGGGGAGGGAGGAGGAGGGAGGGAAGGGGAGGGGAGGGGAAGGGAAGGGGAAGGTGAAGGGAGGGGGAGAGGGGAGAGAAGACGGAAAGGAAGAGGGCAGGAGGGAGGGAGGGAGGAGGGAGGCAGGGAGGGAGGAGGGACTACAAGAAGAAAAACATTTATAAATATTATAAATATTAAGAACATTAGAACATGCGCCCGCCAAAAACAAAGAAACGAACCTGGAAACACCCCAAAGCAAAGACAAGCCCCAGAGTGGGAGAAGAGATTTAAAGCCCCCAGCCTTGGACCCTAGGGAAGACCACAGAGGGGATGCTAGGCCCCTGAAGCCGGGGGAGACTCGTTTTCAAAATACGAAAAAATCACTAAGAAATGCTCAAAACACTCTGCATGGAACACACCTTTCATCCAGCCCCGAATGGGATGCGTTGCTTAGTCCTAGGATTTGAGCCTCCCAAACAAATGTCTCCTGGAGACGTGACTTTCTCCTTCAGTCTGACTTAAATTAGTTCCCGTCTCGTAGGTCTCAAATTAAAGGCAGGACCGAAGCCCTGTGATTATGACCTAGGAGTCCGATCACGGGAGAAAGTGCTGTCTGAACGCTGAGAAACTGTTCAGCCATGTCATCTGAAAGGTCAATGGGTTCCTTTTGCCTGGGCAGCGAAAACCCTGCCTCTGCCCAGGTGGTCTCAGAGAAGGACGGCCAGGCTCTCTCCAGGGAAGTCCCAGAGCCCTGGTCAGGCAGGGCAGAGCCAGGCTCGGCAGGTATACGGATGCCCAAATGAGAGCCACACCCCAGCCCCTGCCTCCCTGGGAGGGGGGTTCCCTCTGCGGCCCTGGAGGGTGGGGTGCTCTTCACCTGTTCTCCAGGAGCTGCTCCCCACCGCCAGGGCTTACTTGGGCTTCTTGACGTCCGTCATCTTGGTGTGCTCTCCGAACTCCCGCTTCAGGAACTCTTCCAGAGGCCCTGACTCGTAGGGTCTCGAGCCCCGGAACACCTCATCCTTCATGCGAAAGTACACACTGCGCATGTAGGCCATGGACTTACCTAGGAACAAGGGGGCGGGAGGTGGGGAGAGGGGACGGCCACACGCTGGGCTCCCCCGGGAGAACAGCCTGCAGAGTCTGAGCGCAGGAGGTGGCTGGAGGAGGTGCATTTTCCGAGGCCTAAGCAAACCCACATTCTGGGCCCTTCCTTTGCAACTTCTGGGACAGGGAGAGAAAAGCCCCCTTTTTGGCCGGGTACAGTGGCTCATGCCTATAATCCCAGCTCTTTGGGAGGCAGATGAGGGCAGACAATGAGGTCAGGAGATCAAGACCAGCCTGACCAACATGGTGAAGCCCCATCTCTACTAAAAATATGAAAATTAGCCAGCTGTGGTGGCGCGTAACTGTAGTCCCAGGTCCCTGGGAGGCTGAGGCAAGAGGATCTCTTGAACCAGGAGGTGGAGGTTGCAGTGAGCCGAGATCACACCACTGCATTCCAGCCTGGGAGACAGATAGAGACTCTGTCTCAAAAAAAAAAAAAAAAAATGCTTGCTATGCTTTTTATTAAATATTATCTACCCCATTAAGTTCACACAGCCAGCTCTACCCTCTGTGGCCAGAGGGTAGGGGAGCCCCAAGCCCGTGTGCCCAGCCCTTCTCCTTCCAACCTGGGACCCCAGCACCTGCAGCCCACCCCTAGCCTCCACAAAGGGCTTACAGCCCTCCCCTCCCCCTCCATCCTCTTTCTGCAAAGCTCTGAAAACAAACTCAGTCCCCTTGAGGGCAGGTCTCAGCCCAGTGCCCCCCCCGATCCCCGTCCCCAGTGACAGCTCTCACTGTGCAGAATGGCCAGGGCCAGGATGCCCCCAGTGCTGGTGCCCGCCACCCAGTCAAACAGGTCCTTGGTGGCCACACCCGAGGCCTTCTCGATGGCGATGAGGAGCTGGATGATGACCAGCCCTTTCACTCCTCCTCCATCCAGGCACAGCAGGTGGTCGTGGCTGCAGTGGGAATAGCGGGGGAGAGAGGAGGGCTCCACCACAGCCCTCATAGCCCTTGTCCCCTGCAGCTGTGCCCTGGCAGACGGACCCAGACGGACCTGAGGAACCTCACCCCACGGGGGGTTGGGGGAAGGACAGTAAGGGAACAAACGTCTAGTATCTTCAGGGGGTGGAGGATACAACAGAGAAAGGGAAAGGAGGGTCGGGGGATGGCCTCACTGACCAGGCGCCATCCCAGCAGGCTCCAGTCTCTCCAACTTGAGACACCTGATTTTGGTATCAGGCTTGACCCAAAGCAGGTGCCTGATAAACAAGGCTAGGGGAGGAGAGACCGGGACCCTACAGCCAGGCCAGGAATGGGCAGTCAGGAGGTGTCAGGGCCCTCCACACAAGGTAGGAGAAGCAGGGGAGGAGGGGTGGGGGAAGGAAGAGGTTCATGCCAGGGGCTGCGGACCGGTGCCACCAGCATTAGCTCGTGCCATTGTCGCAAACGCCTCTGAAGCATACCCTCCTGACATCCCTGTGCTTATTTATAGAGACAGAGTCTCACTCTGATCACCCAGGCTGGTGTGCAGGAGTGCAATCATAGTTGACTGCAGCCTCAACCTCTGGGCTCAAGTGATCCTCCCACCTCAGCCTGAGTAGCTGCTACAGGCAGGAGCCACCGCACCTGCTCTCTGTGCATATTTCTGAGTGAAGGAGGGAGTGCAGCTCAGACTTTGTTCCCAGACGCGAACAATGTCACATGGATGGGATCTGGACCCGAACCCGTGTCTGCCCCTCCTGAGTCACATGCTCTCCAGCGTGCCCTGACGCCGTCTCCCCACTTCCTGCCTGTCCTCATTGGCCATTCCCTGGGGGAACGCCTTCGTGGTCTGCTCAGCCTGGAACCTTCCTCTGATGATCTCGTCATCCCAATTCAGCTTGAATGCCACTGCTTGAGAGAAGCCTGCCCTGATGCCACCAGCACCCTGCTCCACCCACTTCCTGATGAAGGATGCTTCCACCCCATTCATGATCTTTCACTCTCTTCCTCCTGCACTGACCGGGAGGCTCCATGAGGACAGAGGCCGAGCACCTCTACTCCAGGCAGTGCTGCGTATCAGGGGGATGCAGGAGGTGCCCGAGAGGGCTGATAAATGGAGGAGGCCTGAATCCCACCTCTAGGGGTCTTTTCCTGGACCAGGTGCCCAGCCCTCAGGCAAGCCTACAGGTGGCAGGCGAGGCTACATTGCTGCTGGAGCCCAAAGCAAAGAAGCAAGGCCCCTGAAGATGCGGGGCTGGCGACAGAGATCAACCCAGAGGGTGCAGGGCTCTGTAGCTCGGAAGGTCCCAGTGGGGAGGCACCGAGGGGTCTCCTGACTCTCCCCTCAGCCCTGCTCCAGGGAGGGCACTGAGGCTCCAGAATCTGGGGAATGTGCTTCTCCTCCTCTGGGAAATGTGAGTCCCCCCTCAGGTGCAGCTGCCTTACCTCAGTCCCTGCACAGCAGTGTGTGTGCGTGTGTGTGTGTGTGTTTGCATGTGTGTGCATGTGTCCATGTTTGCACGTGTGCACGTGAGTGCATGTGCGTGCATGTGTGCATGTGGGTATGGGTGTGTATGTGTTCATGTTTGCATGTGTGCACGTGTGCATTTGTGTTATGTGCATGTGTCCGTGTCTGCATGTGTATACAGATGTGTGAGTGCATGTGCTTGTGTGTGTGTGTGTGTGTGCATGTGGGTGTGGACTGCATGTGTATCTGTGTGTTCATGTTTGTATGTGTACGCGTGTGCACATGGGTGTGTGCATGTGTGTGTGCACGAAGGCATGCAGGGGTCACAGGGGAGGGAATGCTTATGGGGCATGTGTTCATGTTTGCATGTGTGCACGTGTGCATTTGTGTTATGTGCATGTGTCCATGTCTGCATGTGTATACAGATGTGTGTGAGTGCATGTGCTTGTGTGTGTGTGTGTGCATGTGGGTGTGGATTGCATGTGTATCTATGTGTGTTCATGTATGTATACGCGTGTGCACATGTGTGCATGTGTGTGTGCACGAAGGCATGCAGGGGTCACAGGGGAGGGAATGCTTATGGGGCATGTGTTCATGTTTGCATGTGTGCACGTGTGCATTTGTGTTATGTGCATGTGTCCATGTCTGCATGTGTATACAGATGTGTGTGAGTGCATGTGCTTGTGTGTGTGTGTGGCACACAACGGGGTGGCATGGAAGGGAGTTGGATGTGTGGGGACCCATAGAGCTCTACAATCACAGCCTGGCTCTGGGAGTGGACCTGCCTCTGGTTCTGAGAAGAGCTTTCCCTGAAGGGGGCTGGCACCAGAGAACCCAGAGAGAGCCTGGGGTAGCAGGAAGGACGTGGGTTTGGAAGCCCCGGGTGTGAGTTGCCACCCTGACGCTCACTCTGTGTGACCTTGAGCAAGTCACTTAACCTCTCAGGGGCTCAGGTTCTGCATCTGCAAAACAAGGTCACTAATTCTTCCCTGGGAAGGCTGTTTGGAGCATGAGAGGCTAATAAAGAATAAATGAATCAACTGCAGCAATAAAGGGAGGTGGAGCCAGCACCGTGGCTGGAAAGACATTTGTCTGGGTACCGTGCCATGCCAGCTGGCACTGATTCCAGGCACCCAGGATTATGCCTGAAGGGTAAGGCCTGGGCTTCTTCCCTGTGTCCTGTCACCCAGGCCTCCCTCTTAGAATGGACCTGGGTATACAGCAGGTGCTGGGGAAGGCAGCCCATGCCACTACTCTGCAGAGGGAGATGGTTAAGAAAGCTGGAAGGAGCAGTGGGAAGCAGCCGCTGAGATCTCCCTGGAGGTACCCGGGCATCTCCTCTCCTCGAGCCATGAGGAGATCAGGGATGGAGGCCAGAGCACTGTGCCAGCCCCCAAGTCCAAGAAGCCTGACACTCTGGGCTGGTCCCCCAGAGCCTGCACCACCAGGAATTCATGAATGAGTGACACAGACTCTCCATGCTCTATCTCTGCTGAGAACTATATGACTAGGAGCAGAGCCACCTCACAGGCTGTGGGGGTGCAGAGAGAAAAGCCCCGAGACTGCAACAGTGGGGGTTGAAGGGCAGGAAGTGCACACGTTCCACCCTCTGTCCCCACTCTCGATCCACTTACCTACGCTTCTCGTCCCTCATGGAACCCAGGATGAAGGCTGGCTTCCGGGCCCGAGAGATGTGCATGAGATCCTGCAGTTCTGTGAGGCACAGGGCAGAGCGTGCTGTGGCCAGGCAGGTCCCCAAGCCCTGCCACCCCAGGGCTCCCTAGATCAAACCTGGGCTGTGCCTTGCCCATAGCCGCGCCTTCACCCCACTCCCCATCATCTGTCCCTTGCCTCCAGGAAGGACTCTTTGTCCCACGAGAAAGCTGAGCCAGAGGCCACAGGAGAGAAACGGCTGGAGTGGAAAGGGGAAGGGCTCCCCACCCTGCCCAGCCAGCTCCCAACTCCCCTTAATGTCTTCCTCTTGAAACCCAGATGCATGAACACCCTAGAGTGTCCTCCTCAGAGTGCTTTTTGCATCGGAGCGATGCTGCTGATAACCACAGGGGCTAAGAACTCATATTCCCTATTGAAGGTGAGGCTCAAAGGGGACTCATGATTCGCCAATGTCATTTAGGCAAAAGGACGCTCCTCAGGGTTTAAGTCCATGGAGGAAGGGAGACACCCCTTGTCCTGATCCCAGGTCTGGAAATCCCAGTGGCCTCGGGATCAGGCCCACCATCCACTCTGCCCACATGTTCTTTTGGGTCTGGGGCCTGCCCCATGCCCACCCAATTGACTAGCTGCCCCTCCTGCAAGCAGCCCAGCCCCCAGGTGCCTGGCACAGCAGCCTGCATGACTCCAACTCTGACAGCCTTCCACCACTGTGCAGGGTCTAGAAGCAGCAAAGCAGAACCGAGGGCTGAGAAGCGGTGTCTCCCCGTCCCCAGAGCACATGGCTGTGCGGTGGACAAAGGAAGCAGGAAAGTGGCCAAGAGAGGCCGAGGACAGAGCTCAGGGGACAGAGCGCAGGGGAGGGGCATGTAGCGTGTATGCAGCTGAGAAGGACAAGTTGGGGAATGAGAGCTAGCGCTAACATCGCATGGCTAGGCTCAGCAGCCTCTCCAGGCCCAGGGCATTACCCATCTGACGCCGGACCCCAGGCCCACCATCCGGCCTGGCTTGGGAGACTGCCTGCAAAATTGAGAGATAAAGACGGGAGGTGGAGGGGGCAGTTCCTGGGACGGGAGACAGAGGTGGAGCCAGAAGGACTAAGGGCAGCGGCCATGGTGCCTCTCCAGAGCTCCAGGCTTGGTTGGGCTACCCTGGCTGGAGGTGCTGCCGCCACCACAGTTAAAAGCCTGGCTCGCCAGGGACTGGCTCCCGGCTGCCCTCTGTTCAGGGGATGCCACTCCCAAACAATCGAGGTCCCAGGGTGGGCCAGCCGACAGAAAGCCTAGAAAAGGGCCCCGTCTAGCCTGGGGGTATCTCCCTGGGTACCAAGGAGGTACCGGGGCAGATGCTGGCTGCCTGGCCACATTCAATGCCTGAAAGTCACCATAGGGCCAGGAAGGGGGTACGCAGGTCTCAGGTTCAACCGAGATTCAAACAGTGTGATAGAGGTAAAGCCAGAGGGACAGAGAAGCCAGAGGGACTGGGCCCCCAGACCCCCGACAGCACTCCTCACTGCCCACCCTGAGCTCCCTGGGGACAGGAGGGCAATGAGTACAGCCACCCTATGGGTGCCACTAGAAATGCCCAGGCCTGAGACTGTGTGCAGGGCACATCCTCTCAGGGGCAACGGACCGGGGGACGTCAGCCAGGGACGCCCTAGGCCTCTGGGATCTGTAGGTTGCTGGCTGCTTAGAGGCTGACAATTCTGGCTCCATCCTCCCCTGCTTCCTTCAGTGCCTTCCGTCCTGGGGATCCTTTTGCTTTAGTGGGGCCTGGGAACCAGCTGGAGAAGAGGGAGTCAGGGGGGCGAGGCCTACCTAGGTTGTTTAGGCTGATCGGTGGGGGCTGAGCTCTTTCCAGGGAGAAGGGGTGATGTGGTGCTGCAGAGCCCTGCTCCGTGGGGACCCCATGGATGTGTGGGAAGCAGTATTCGGCCCCCACAGTTCTCAGCAGAGTCAAGATCGCCTTCCTGGTGACAACTTGTCATGGTTTGGGGAAGGGGAGATCACACAGGATCAGAAATGGTGTCACATGCAAAGGAGAGGTCCCTCTTTTCCACACTCTGACCCTTGTCCCAGTTAACCAGGCCCTGGGTGCCCCCTGACAGGGAGTGCTGCCCCCAGGCTGGTACATCCCAAGCAGCTTCCTAAGGCCAGGGAAGGGGCTGGGGACTGACCATGGGATATGGGAGGAGGAGGTCGGTGTTCACCCTGCCCGATGACTGTGGGAACCCCTTCTTGTCTTCTACTCCAGCCAAGAAAGCAGGATTCCCCCGGCCACGTTCAGCGAGTCTCAAAAATGCTAAGTGGATAGTTGAGGGTTCCAAAGGGACTAGTGAGCCAGCCAGTGAGCACCTATTCCATTTGATGGATGGGATCATTGAAAAGGAGGCCACGGATGTGGTGTATGCAGACACCTGCATGTGCCCTGGCACGCATACAATGGTGCCATCAGGTACCTGCCCACAGTGACCGCCATGGCTCCCTGAAACCTTCCAGAGTGGGCTCCAGGCCTCTGGTGAGGAAGATCTGCTCTGTCCAGATCTGATGCTAAGGCTCACTGGGCGAGCGTGCAGCGTGTGTCCATGCACTCCCGTCCACACAGGCATGCTCAGGGCTGTGCAGCGTAGCGCATGCACCCTATGGTCATTCTAGCCAGTGGTCCCATCAATGAATTTCCCCGAAGTGGGAGAAGAGGGCTGCTGCTGCCTCTCCTGTCCCCACCCCTGCTGGGAGTCTTAGCACCCTGAGGTGGGAGGGGGGCTGCAGGGAAGAGGATGCTGGTAAGGCAAGCTTCTTGGTGAGACTGCATCTACAGCTCAGGGCCCTCGTGCCTGGGTAAGGAAGCTCCCTCTCTGAGTGCCAGGCACTCCTGGCAGCTCTGAGCAGGGCAAGTCAGCACAGGACGCTGGCATCTGATGGCTGGGACTTCCCTCCTCATCAGTCCCTGCACCCATCCCACCCTCACCCCACTCTGGCCCCAGACTGCAGAGCACATACGTTTGCTGATCTTGGAGGCTAGGAGTGTAGGAGTCTCCCCAAAGTCATTCTGGGTGTCCACTTCTGCTCCAAACACAATGAGGGCCTTGATCATCTCCACATTGTCTTTCTGTCGGGGATGGAGAGAGGATAAGATGTGCAACCGCTCAGGGAACTGAAGAGCAAAGGGACCCTAGTGCCTGCCCCAACCTGTCAACTCACCCAGCAGGCCTCTCGTCAGTACAGGGAGACACTGGAACCCTCCTGACCCTACCCCAGTCAATCTTCCATTTGATGGCTAGAGCCCTGACAAACAAGCTTAAAAGCACCTACGGTGAGGGTTTAATAACCCAGGCAGAGGCCGGGCGCAGGGGCTCCTGCCTGTAATCCCAGCACATTGGGAGGCCAAGGCGGGTAGATCACGAGGTCAGGAGATCAAGACCAGCCTGGCCAACATGGTGAAACCCTATCTCTACTAAACTACAAAAAATTAGCTGGGTGTGGTGGCTAAGTACCTGTAGTCCCAGCTACTTGGGAGGTTCAGACAGGGGAATTGCTTGAACCCGGGAGGCGGAGGTTGCAGTGAGCCGAGATCATGCCATTGTACTCCACCCGGGCGACAGACTGAGACTTCATCTCAAAAAAAGAACCCAGGGCCGGGTGCGGTGGCTCACGCCTGTAATCCCAGCACTTTGGGAGGCCGAGGTGGGCGGATCACAAGGTCAAGAGATCGAGACCACCCTGGTCAACATAGTGAAACCCCGTCTCTACTACAAATACAAAAAATTAGCTGGGCATGGTGGCGCCTGCCTGTAATCCCAGCTACTCAGGAGGCTGAGGCAGGAGAATTGCCTGAACCCAGGAGGCGGAGGTTGCAGTGAGCCGAGATCGCACCATTGCACTCCAGCCTGGGTAACAAGAGTGAAACTCCGTCTCAAAAAAAAAAGAAGAACCCAGGCAGAAACTAGAGTTGACTTGCCCCAGCTCTGCCAGCCCCACCTCCAAAGAAGTAGTGCATCTGTACCCTGACCCAGGAGCCATGCGGATATGGTAGGTCAACTGCTGATGGCTTTCAGGAGTAGCAGGGAGAGGGTGGGTGAGGACAAGGAAGGCCATCTTGCCCACCCAGTCCAGGATGTCATCCCTGAGAGGTCACTGAACACACATGCCGCTGACGGCAGCCTTCAGGGGAGTGCCCCCTCAAACAGCATCAAGCATTTTCACAGCTGGAGGCCAGGCAGGGGCACAGGGCATGGCATGCTTTCACAGGACGCACCAAGCGACTAGCCGCCTAGAAGTCTGGGCTCCGGTCTTGTCATCTCCCTCTTCTTGGGACTTGATTTCCCTGCTAGAGTATGAAGTGGTGCATCTAGAATTGGGTTTTCCAATCAGTTCTTCGCATTCTATTAGGACTCCTATGGGTACAGATATGTGTGTGTTTTCCTCACTAACTGTGATTCTGTGTGTGCGTGGTTACCTTTCATGGCTGGCACTGGGTGGACGGATGGATGGGTGGCCATTTATGGTAGTGAAGCAACATTTCTTTTAAAAGAAATTTAAGTCAGCTGAAAAGGGAGCCAGTTTGAAGAGATGGTTAAGTACATAATTGTAAAGGTGGTTGAGGAACATGCCAAAAACTGTGAAGATGGTATGAAAATCACCAAAATACCTCAGCAGTTCCCGAAGCAAGACCTGGGGACGCCTGTGAATGCGTGAGACCCTTTCAGAGAGTCTGCGAGGTTAAGAATAGTTTCTTTTTCTATTCTTGAGATGGAGTTTTGCTCTTGTCGCCCAGGCTGGAGTGCAGTGGCACCATCTGGGCTCACTGCAACCTCTGCCTCCTGGTTCAAGCGATTCTCCTGCTTCAGCCTCCTGAGTAGCTGGGACTACAGGCGCGTGCCACCATGGCCCACGAATTTTGTATTTTTAGTAGAGATGGGGTTCCACCATGTTGGTCAGGCTGGTCTCAAACTCCTGGCCTCAGGGGATCCACCCATCTCGGCCTTCCAAAGTGCTGGGATTGTAGGCATGAGCCACTGTGCCTGGCCAGTTATTTTTTAAGCTTTTAAAATTTTTTTAATTTTAATTTTTGTGCATACATAGTAGGTATAGATATTATTATTTTTTAATGCAATAAATATTTTGAAAATTTCACACTTTAAATTTCTAATAGAGTAAATATAGACAAATAAAATCCAGATCATTAAAAGGTCTTTGTGATCCTCAATAATTTGTGAGGGTAGAAAGGGATCAAATAGGCCAAAAAACTTGAGAACTACTGAACTAGATCGTTCTAATGGCCCACCCAGTGCTAAAAATGTCCAGAGTTTCAAAAATCAAACTATTTATAGTTTCAGCCTTTTGGGCAACAACATCTCTCCCAAGTGTTGACCTTTCATATAAAACAGGATGTCCGGCTGGGCACGGCGGCTCACGTCTGTAATCCCAGCACTCTGGGAGTCCAAGGTGGGCAGATCACCTGAGGTCGGGAGTTTGAAACCAGCCTGACCAACATGAAGAAACCCTGTCTCTACTAAAAATACAAAATTAGCCTGGTGCGGTGACACATGCCTGTAATCCCAGCTACTCAGGAGGCTGAGGCAGGAGAATCACTTGAACCCGGGAGACGGAGGCTGCAGTGAGCCAAGATCATGCCATTGCACTCCAGCCCGGGCAACAAGAGCGAAACTCCAATTCAAAAAAACAAAAACAGGATGTCCTTGAATTTGTCCTGAATTGACTTTTAGAGTCCCAGGGGTCTCTCATGTTCTGTCACTGAGACTCAGTAAACTGACTTATACACATACGGTATTGCTATGGAACACATGCACGCAGCTGGGCGCGGTGGCTCACACCTGTAATCCCAGCACTTTGGGAGCCAAGGCAGGTGGATCACGAGGTCAAGAGTTTGAGACCAGCCTGGCCAACAGAGTAAAACCTCATCTCTACTAAAAATACAAAAATTAGCTTGGCGTGGTGGCACATGCCTGTAGTCCCAGCTACATGGGAGGCTGAGGCAGGAGAATCACTTGAGTCCGGGAGGCACAGGTTGTGGTGAACCGAGATCGTACCATTGCACTCCAGTCTGGGTGCCAGAGCGAGACTCCATCTCAAAAAAAAAAAGAATATGTGAACACACGTGTCTGTAATACAATAACATCCTCCTCTGTTAGATTGAATGTGTTCAGACTCCAGCTGTCTAAACAGACTGTAAGGCCGTTGAGGGCAGGAACTGTGTTCTATAATGAACCAGTGAAGGTGCCCAGCACCTGCCGTGGGCTGCCGGGCTGCACATTCAGGCTTTGCAGGATGTTTTGTTGGTTTTTTTATTTTTTTGAGATGGAGTTTCACTCTTGTTGCCCAGCCTAAAGTGCAATGGCTCAATCTCAGCTCACCTCGACCTCCACCTCCCAGGTTCAAGCCATTCTCCTGCCTCAGCCTCCCGAGTAGCTGGGATTACAGGCATGCACCACCACACCCAGCTAATTTTGTATTTTTAGTAGAGACAGGGTTTCTCCATGTTTGTCAGGCTGGTCTCAACCTCTCAGGTGATCCATCCACCTTGGCCTCCCAAAGTGCTGGGATTACAGGCATGAGCCACCACACCTGGCCAACTGGCCAAGATCTGACAGTCTCCCAGGGAGGTGAAAGCAAATGTGGACCAGTGAAGGGAAGCAGGCTGCTCACTCGTGCCAGGTACTGCGTGTGTCATTTAGACATTCTGCAGAGCATGACCAACTGTCCACCGTTTAATTAATCCTCTCCACAACTTTTCCAGGCAGGTATGGACACCACAGTTTCCCAGATGGGGAAATTGAGGCCTGACAGGTGACGTGGCTTGCCCAGGGCCAGTCTGTGGCCAGGGCTGTCATGTTTCCTTCTCATGCCATGCAAATGTCAAATACGGGGACAAGTGGAAAAGGTACCAAAGCACACACGAAGGTGATGATTTTAGGGCTGACAGGGGGACTTGGAAGGCTTCCTGAGGGAGGAAGCAGGGTCTGAAGTGAATTTTGGGTGGGAAGATGATTTGGAGTTAGAGGAGGGAGGGAGATGATGGGGAGGAGTGCTCCAGCCCAGACAGCCCCCCTATATTCCCATGGGGCCCCACAGGGCTCACCGACATGGCCAGGTGCAGCGGGGTGTTGCCGTGCTCACCGCGGGCATCTGCGTTGGCCCCGTGGGTCAGCAGCACCATGGCACAGTCGAAGCGGTCGCGCATCACCGCCACGTGCAGGGCCGTGTTCCCTGCGGAGCTGGTGCCATTCACGTCACAGCCCCGTTTCAGCAGCATGCGGGCCATCTGCAGGAGACCCAAGTCAGCCAAGTCAGGCCAAGTCAGCGCAGGCACTCGGGGAACTGCTGTGGCTTGTGACACCTGGGCACCGCCACTTCCTCTCTGAGAGGCCTACAGGCACTGGGAAGCCGGAAAGCACTAGCAGCAGGATTCCAGGGGCGGCCCCAGTTCTGGGGGCACCTAGACTGGCTCCCATACCATCAGCAACCCAGGATGAGGGACAAAAAGCCAAAGGTGTGCTGACTGTTTTAAGAGGCTCTGCTTGTTTCCTAGAGCTAACAGAACCCATCTCTCCTTGCAAAGGCTCCTCTGGGCCCTGTCCTGAAGTGCCCCACTCCCTGGGACATGCAAAGGTATCATCTCTCACTGGGCCTTAGCAAAACACATGGGACCAGGGAGGGGAGCCTGGACTTGGAGTCACACAGACCTGAGCTCAAAGCCCAGCTCCACTCATCCCAGCTGGCTGGGCTTGGACAGGTCCCTGCAGCCACGTGCACCTCAGGTTTCTCTTCTGTAAAAATGGGAGAGCAAGTCCCCACCTCACAGAATGTGATAACAATGCATGACCAAACCGACACGGAGGGGCCTGATGTGGTGTCCAGTTCCTGGAACACAGAGGTATCCCTGAGACTGCCCTCCCTCCTGGTCCATCACGTTGAGAAGTGGGCCATGATCGCTGGGACGTCCCATGTCCTGTCAAGCTGTGCTTCCTGGTGATGAGACCAGAGGCCCCCATCCTCCCAGGAGGACAGAGCTTAGCTTAGGGGAAGGCCTCAGAGGAGATGCCCCGCCAGGCTCCCTGTGTGTGCAGCTGGACCCAGCACCACCACCACCACCGTCATCATCATGATCGTCACGGTTAATACTGTCAACCTGACTGGCTTGAAGGATGCGAACTATTGATCCTGGGTGTGTTTATGTGGGTGCTGCCAAAGAGCCTCACACTGGAGTCAGTGGACCAGGAAAGGGAGACCCACCCTCGAGCTGGGTGGGCACCAGCTAATCCCCTGCCAGCGTGGCCGGAATGTAAAGCAGGCAGGAAAATGTAAAAATCTTTTTCCCGTGCTGGATGCTTCCTGCCCTCGAACATCAGACTCCAAGTTCTTCAGCTTTGGCACTCGGACTGGCTTCCTTACTCCTCAGCCTGCAGACTACGGGGGAACCTTCTGCTCATGCAAATTAATGCTCCTTAATAAACTCCCTGTAATATGCATCTCTAGCCTATGAGTTCTGTCCCTCTAGAGAACCCTAACTAATAATACAGTCATCATCACACCACCTTCTATCTGGGGAGCACTTTACAATTTGTGCAGAGTTTTGTCATGCACTAACCAGTTGACCACCACCTCTCCAAAGCAGAATTCATGGATGAGGAAACTGAGGCACAGGGTGGATCCCGCCACCCAGCCAGAGAGCAGCAGAGCCATGCCAGGATCCCAGCTCTTCATGGGCTTCTCTGCCTGCAGACCCACTACAAGATCAGCCCCTAAGTGCTAGCCTCAGAGTGCCGTCGGGAACCTGCAGGGCTCTGCCCCCTGCCCCCTGCCTCACCCCACCTCAAGCTCCACTCACCTCTGCGTTTTTGGCCCAGTGGAGGGGGCTGGCTCCGTAACGGGGGTCTTTGCTGTGGATCTGGCTGCTGTCCATGCTGATGATCATCTCCGCACACCTGGGGAGAGAGGGGCCCAGGCTGGTGAGTGGAGGCTGCGATCCACTTGGCATGGGATGAAGCCAGGATTCAGGGCTTCATCTACTGCTTACAGAGAGCATCGCTGCAAACAAGGTTCAACAGACCCAACCAGCATGCTCACCATGGTATGTTAAGGCTGTAATGAGCCCCCTGAGGCACAACTAACCCCCTCCTCCAAGAAGCCTTCCTGATGACTGCCACCAGCAATGATCACCCTCCCTGGTGCTGGCTTGAGAGTCAGAAGGGCTCGAGGTCAAGCCCCAGCTTCTTCATTGGTGGCCTCCAGAAGCTGAGCAACATGGAGAGAGTGTTGAGAGGAGTGGCGGGGCGTAAGGAAGACCAGGCATTTCAGAGCCCCGTTCTGTGCCCAGCACACAGCCACCATCCACCCCCTTCCCACACCGTCAGGGTTTTAACAGTGACCGGCATGCTACAGGAAGCAGTATGGCGGAGGGGGCAAGAGTGGAATTGCTTTCTACTCGGTACACAACCACAGGACTGAAAGCGGGGACTTGAACAGACATTTCCTGGCCCATGTACACAGCAGCATTATTCACAACAGCAAAAGGTGGAAACGACCCAGGTGTGTATCAGTGAATGACTGAATGCAGAAACAAAATAGTATTCTGGCTTTATAAAAAAAGAAATTCTGGCCGGGCGTGGTGGCTCACGCCTGTAATCCCAGCACTTTGGGAGGCTGAGGCAGGCGGATCACAAGCTCAAGAGATAGAGACCATCCTGGCCAACATGGTGAAACCCCATCTCTACTAAAAAATACAAAAATTAGCTGGGTGTGGTGGCATGCGCCTGTGGTCCCAGCTACTCAGGAGGCTGAGGCAGGAGCATTGCTTGAACCTGGGAGGCGGAGGTTGCGGTGAGCCGAGATCACACCACTGCACTCCAGCCTGGCGCCTGGTGACAGAACAAGACTGTCTAAAAGAAAAAAAAGAAAGCACAGCACAGATGAATCTTGAAGACATCATGCTAAGTAAATAAGCCAGACACAAAAGGGCAAACACTGTATGATTTCACTTATATGAGGTTCTAGAACAGGCAAGTTGGAGAGACAGAGAGGATGTGAGAGGTTATCAGGGGCTGTGGGGAGGGGAGAACGGGGAGTTGTTAATGGTTACAGAGTTTCCGTTTGAGGTGATAAGAAAAGTTTTAGAAATAGGGGTAATGGGGCCAGGCTCGGTGGCCCACGCCTGTAATCCCAGCACTCTGGGAGGCGGAGGTGGGCGGATCACTAGGTCAGGAGTTCGAGATGAGCATGACCAACATGGTAAGACCCTATCTCTACTAAAAACACCAAAATCAGCCAGGCATGGTGGCATGCGCCTGTAATCCCAGCTACTCAGGAAGCTGAGGCAGGAACTGTCTGAACCTGGGAGGCAGAGGTTGCAGTGAGCCAGATTGCTCCACTACACGCCAGCCTGGGCAACAGAGCGAGACTCCACCTCAAAAAAAAACAGGAGTGGTGGTTGGACAACATTGTGAATGTGATTAAAACTACCAAATTATACACTGAAAAGTGATTGAAATGGCAAATGTTATGTTATATATAATTTACCACAGTTGTAAAAATCAACACAATATATCAGAACCATTGAACTGTATGCTTTCAATAGGTGAACTGTATGAAATAGGAACTATATCTCAATAAAGCTTTTTTTTTTTTTTAAGTGCAGTTACTAGGAGAGCCCACATGGGTTTAATTCCCAGGTCTGGCACTTACTGACTGCCTGACTTAGGGCAAGTTACTTAATCTCTCTAAGCCTTGGTTTCCTCATCTGTTTTTTGTTTGTTTGTTTGAGACAGGAACTCCCTTTGTTACCCAGGCTGGAGGGCAACGGCACCATCATAGTTCACTGTAGCCTCAAACTCCTAGGCTCAAGCGATCCTCCTGCCTCAGCCTTCCAAAGTGCTGGAATGAGAGGCATGAGCCACCACACTTGGCCCTCATCTTTGAAAGGGGAATAAAATACATCGGTTCTCTGGGCTGTGGTGAAATAGCCCACGTGAAGGCTATGCTGGCAGCTGGGACGGCGTTAGTGTGCAGCTGCTCTTCTCTGTTATGAGGGGTGCCCAGCACAGGCCCAGCATGGCCACCGCACCCAGCCTAGAGAGTATTTTAAGATTTGAGGTATTCATCTCTTTTATCCTTTTTATTTCATCCCCCACCCCTTTGAACATAATTTTCCTGAGACCAGGGTTTCCCAGGCTCCCCAAACACGGGCCTGCACCTGCCTCCCAGCAGTGCCATCTCACAGAAAGGAAAGTGGCATCTAGGTGGGCAGGCCCTTGGCCACCTTGCCAAGCATTTCCCAGGCTTTGAGCTGGGCACACAAGAAACCAAGGAGCACTGAAGCCATCGGGGGCTGTTCAGGTCAGGCTGGGCTGGGTTAGAGGAGCCAGGTGAGCCTCGCAGCTGCATTAGACTCCAAAACTGGAGTACCACCTGGAGGGGAGCTGGAAAGAGGAGACCCCAAAGCGGGCTAAGATTGCTGTTCTCCAGTTTGGTAGAGGGAGATTCACTGGTAGGGATTAAGGTGCATCATACACAAATTTTAAAGTCTCTTCCTTGTACAGCTGAACTTGTGAAGCGAGATTCCTGACTCCTACCCACAACGCAATGATGGAGCACCTTCTTCAGGCCAGGCCGGGCCTAATGAGGCTTGTGAACCCGGGCCTCCACTATGAGGCTGGAGATGCTAAGATCTATGGTGGACACTGCTCACCACGGGCACAGGACAGGTGGAATGAGAGCTGGAGCCCAGCAGGCCAGCAGGTAGGGCGGGGAGGGAGGTCTTACTCCTTCTGAGAGAACTTCATGGCGGAGTGGATGGGGTAGCCGCTGGGACCCATGATGTTGCAGCGAGCATTGCACAGCAGCAGCGCGCGGACCATGTCCTGCTTCCCCAGCTGGCAGGCCAGGTGCAGCGGGGTCAGCCCTTGGTTATTCACCTGGTTCAGGCCAGCCACTGCGTTCTTTCCGAGGAGCTGATGAAAGAGGAAGGGAAGTTTGACTCCATGAGGTTGCTGGGAAGAACATAAAGAGGCCAGGAGCAGTGACTCACGCCTGTCATCCTGGCACTTTGGGAGGCCAAGGCAGGTGGATTACCTTAGGTCAGGAGTTCAAGACCAGCCTGGCCAACATGGTGAAACCCCATCTCTACTAAAAGTACAAAAATCAGCTGGGCGTGGTGGCACATGCCTGTAATCCCAGCTACTTGGGAAGCTGAGGCAGGAGAATCGCTTGAACCCAGGAGGCGGAGGTTGCAGTGAGCCAAGATCATACCATTGCACGGCAGCCTGGATAACAGAGCAAAAACTCTGTCTCAAAAAAAAACAAAACAGAACATAAAGAGAAGCAACAGGAAAGCCAAATGCCAGTGTGGATGGGAGGGAGGGAGGTGTCAACCTGGCATGACTGTGGCTCATGTGAAACATTTCTGAGTCAAGGATTTTAAAAGCTGGCTGTATCAGGATGGGTACTGGGGGTCCAGGTGGGAGTGACTCTTGCTTTTCATTATGTCCTGACTGATTTTTTCTTTCTACATACAGGTACTATGTTTTCCATGAAAGAAGAGCAGTGTTAGGAAGAGAGCTAGAGGCCAGATACAGTGGCTCATGCCTATAATTCCAACACGTCGGGAAGTGGGAGGATCACTAGAGACCAGGAGTTTGATACCAGCCTGGGCAACATAGGGAGACCCCGTCTCTACCAAAAAATGTTAAAAAGTTAGCTAGTGTGGTGGCATAAGCCTGTAGTCCCAGTTGCTCAGGAGCTGAGGCAGGAGACTTGCTTGAACCCAGGAGGCCGAGGTTGCAGTGAGCTGAGATTGCGCCACTGCACCCCAGCCTGAGCGACAGAGCCAGACGCTGTCTCAAAAAAAATTAAAAAGAGAGAGCACTAGGAGGGTTTTATTGTCTCACTTTGGGGTGAATGCTGTCTCCTTCCATGAGGTTCCTTATAACCTCAGTGTACCCCTGTGACACTAGGGTCACCTCACAACAGTCCCACTGGGCCTGGAAGCCAGGCAGAGACACAGCAGGGAGAGCAAGGGGCTGGCATCGAGGCCAATGGAAGGTCAAGCCCCACCCTCTCGGCTTTGTGTTCCTCCCTGGGCACCCTTTGTAACAACACTGAATCTCAGTTTCTTTGGAAAGGGGATTAATGATCTTCACCCCGTGAGAATATCCTGAGATGTAACTAGAACACATACAACACTCAGTTCAGGGTCAGGCGCCAGTCAGCACCTGACAAGGGACAGCTGCACTCCTGCATGACTACTGAGAGGTGGGTGCACATGCCCTCGCATGGAGATAGTGTCTGCGTGGGACCATGCTGGGTGCACAGAAGATTCTTAGCGGAAGTGGACTTCAACAGTGGGTGGAGAATTTCCTTCCCTGAGAGCACGAAGCATAAGATATGAATCCACATTTTCTGAGACAGGCACAATGGCTCATACCTGTAATCCTGGCACTTTGGGAGGCCAAGGCGGGCGGATTGCTTGAGGCCAGGAGTTGGGGACCAGCCTGGGCAACATGGCAAAACCCCATCTCTACTAAAAATATGGAAAATACCCTGGCATGGTGGCACGTGCCTGTAACCCCAGCTACTCTGGAAGCTGAGGCACAAGCATCACTTGAACCCAGGAGGCAGAGGTTGCAGTGAGCTGAGATTGCACCACCATACTCCAGCCTGGGAGACTCTCAAAAAAAAAAAAAAAGAAAGAAAGAAATCCACATTTTCTGGAATAATGCAGTTGCATTCTGATGCCAAGGCACAGAGAACATGATCTTCAGAAGAATTTTCTAATTCTAGACAATAAAACATAATCCAACATCCTGCCTTTTCTTTTCAACCTAATATATGAAGTTGCTTTTAATAATATCACCAGGCAGTGGTTCACGCCTGTAATCGCAGCACTTTGGGAGGCCGAGACTGTTGGATCATCTGAGGTCTGGAGGTCAAGACCGGCCTGGACAACATGGTGAAACCCCGTCTCTACTAAAAAAATACAAAAATTAGCCAGGCATGGTGGCACGAGCTTGTAATCCCAGCTACTCAGGAGGCTGAGGCAGGAGAATCACTTGAACCCGGGAGGCAGAGGTTGCCTCGGCAGTGAGCTGAGGTAGTGCCATTGCACTCCAGCCTGGGCAACAAGAGTGAAACTCTGTCTCAAAATAATAATAATAATAATAATAAGATTACCTCATCTGCTTGCCCACAATTTAAAAAAGACAAACCTTTTGCCCAGGTAATCAAAACATTAACAGGAGGGCCTCTGGCACAAATGCTGACGGGAACTGGAGAGAGTTTGGTTTGCTTCGTTTCGTTGGAATTCCTGTAAAACAGGGGTGTCCAATATTTTGGCCTCCCTGGGTCACACAGGAAGAAGAATTGTCTTGGGCCACACATAAAATCCATGAACGATAGCTGATCTAAAAAAAAGATCAGTGCATAAATCTCATGGTGTTTTAAGAAAGGTTATGAATTTGTGTTGGGCCACATTCACAAATTCATTCACAGAGCTGTCCTGGGCTGCAGGCAGCCTGAAGGGCCTCAGGTTGGACAAGTTTGCAAAAGGTTACGCTCAGGTCCTGCCGGCCCATAAGCCCCTCCAGGCAGGCATCTGGCTCCGTTTGTGCTCAGGAAAAGCGGAACTGAGCTGACTGACTGGAATGGTGCCAGTTTATTTTGCTGGGTCGGAGGTCTTCCCCAGGGTTATCAAGCAAACAGGCCGAGAATGTGGCTCCTGGAAAAGCACTGGGAGGGAAGAGCCAGGGAAGGGTCTGCACCCTCCAGGAAGGAGCTCAGACCTCAAGGACCAAGGTGGGACAGTGAGAGGCCCGAGAGCGACACCTGAGCCCAGGGGCTCAAAGGGAACTGTGGACACTGGGAGGTGATGGGTGTCACCTGCCCGTCCCCCCTGCTCACCTGCAGCACCTGGGAATTTTCACCCTGGACAGCATAATGGAAGGCAGTCTCTCCCTTGTTGTCAGTGACCTCCATCTGGGCGTGGCAGTACCGCACCAGCTCCACCAGGATCTCCTCATTGCCCTTGCGGCAGGCCAGGTGCAGGGGAGTGCACCCCTCCTCATTCTCTGTGCTATTGGCACAGCTGCAGGGGAGGGCCGGGGTAAGCAGAGGTGAGCAGGTGTGGCATACAGTGGCAGGGGAAGGTAAGCGCACATGCAGGGAAGTGGGCTCGGAAACTCGGACTTTCTGGTTTATTTCAGCGCAAGAGCCATTCAGCTAGTTGGGCTGATTTGAGCGTACTTGCCTCTGATGTGACCTGCGTCAGGTTTTTGTTCAGTTTGCTCACTTGTATAAGACATGTGCCCTAGGGCCACACCAGCATGAAGTGGGCAGGGTGGTGGCGCAGAACAGGGACACAGAACGCAGATATCTCACTAGACTTGGGCAATTCACTTAACCTTCCTGGGCTTCAATATCCTCATCTACACAACCTGCTGTACCTGCCCCAGGAAATGGACGGAGCGGTGGTGAGATTAGACACTCTGCTGTCCAGATCGTGCTGCGAAACTGAAGTACAGTGAGGCTTTTTATCTTGTTTTGTTTTTTTGAGATGGAGTTTTGCTCTTGTCGCCCAGGCTGGAATGCAGTGACGTAATCTCGGCTCACTGCAACCTCTGCCTCCCAGATTCAAGCGATTTTACTGCCTCAGCCTCCCTGAGTAGCTGGGATTACAAGTGTGCATGACCAGGCCTGGCTAATTTTTTGTATTTTTAGTAGAGATGAGGTTTCACCATGTTGTCCAAGCTGGTCTCAAACTCGTGACCTCAGGTGATCCACCAGCCACAGCCTCCCAAAGCGCTGGATTACAAGTGTCAGCCTGTGCCCAGCCAGCAGTGAGGTTTTAAGTTCTGGGTCTGGGACGTTAACTGAGCCATCTGGGGGAGACTCAGAGGAGATGTGGCTACCTCTGCACAAGATGGCCAACTGGTGTCCTGTGTAAGGGTGGGGACAGTGCCCTCACCAGGGGCAGCCGCTGCTCCATCTGCTGGCTGAATGGATGCATGGAAGAAGGACTTCAGCTTCCAGAAGAGCAGCCTGCAAACAGACACCAAGGATCCAAACCCCTCTTTCACCCTCTCTGGCTGAGCGACCTGCACAGGTCCTGTTAGCCCTTTCTAAAGTGACAATACCTGGGTCAGACGCAGTGGCTCACACCTCTAATCCCAGCACTTTGGGAAGCTGAGGAAGGCAGATTACCTAAGGTCAGGAGTTCAACACCAACCTGGCCAACACGGTGAAACCCCATCTGTACTAAACAAAAATTAGCTGGGCACGATGGCACATGCCTGTAATCCCAGCCGCTTGGGAGGCTGAGGCAGGAGAATCGCTTGAACCCAGGAGGCAGAGGTCACAGTGAGCTGAGATCGCGCCACTGCACTCCAGCCTGAGTTGAGCCTGAGTTGAGACTCTGTCTCAAATAAAATAAAATAATTGTCATTTGACAATACCTTATGGGGGGTGGGAAAATTCAACTTCATGGTAGGCAGCAATCAGCTCCTACAGTCCTGGCACCTGGCGGCACTCTGGAAACACTGCATTGTCCTCTTACATGTTATTCTGGTAGCCAGCAATCAGCTCCTACAGTCCTGGCACCTGGCAGGCGCTCTGGAAACACTGCATTGTCCTCTTACATGTTATTCTGGTAGGCAGCAATCAGCTCCTACAGTCCTGGCACCTGGCAGGCGCTCTGGAAACACTGCATTGTCCTCCTTACATGTTATTCTGGTAGCCAGCAATCAGCTCCTACAGTCCTGGCACCTGGCAGGCGCTCTGGAAACACTGCATTGTCCTCTTACATGTTATTCTGGTAGGCAGCAATCAGCTCCTACAGTCCTGGCACCTGGCAGGCACTCTGGAAACACTGCATTGTCCTCCTTACATGTTATTCTGGTAGGCAGCAATCAGCTCCTACAGTCCTGGCACCTGGCAGGCGCTCTGGAAACACTGCATTGTCCTCCTTACATGTTATTCTGGTAGGCAGCAATCAGCTCCTACAGTCCTGGCACCTGGCAGGCGCTCTGGAAACACTGCATTGTCCTCTTACATGTTATTCTGGTAGGCAGCAATCAGCTCCTACAGTCCTGGCACCTGGCAGGCGCTCTGGAAACACTGCATTGTTCTCTTACATGTTATTCTGGTAGCCAGGCAGCACCTTTTTTTTTTCCTAGAGACAAGGTCTCATTTTGCTGCCCAGGCTGAAATGCAGTGGTGCAATCATAACTCACTGTAACCTCTAACTCCTGGGCTCAAGCAATCCTCCTGCCTCAGCGTCCCAAGTAGCTAGGCCTACAGACACATGCCACCACACACAGCTAATTTCTTTTTTTTTGAGATGGAGTTTTGCTCTTGTTGCCCAGGCCGGAGTGATCTCGGCTCACTGCAACCTCCACCTCCCTGAGGCCTGTGGCCCCCACTGCCCACACAAGCAGGTACATACATGTTGTCCAAAGGGCATCGCTCCCCTGCTCACCTGATGATGCGGCTGTGATGGAAGCACTCACGGATCCCAAGCTCCACGGCCAGGTGGGCCACTGACCAGCTGGGGTGGTTGCGGATGAGGTCGGTCAGGTGCTGCAGGACCTCAGTTTGCAGGACCTGTGGGGAGCTCTCATAGAAGGGCAGCAGCTGGGAAGAATACTGCTGGAAGTTCACCAGGGCATCGGCCTCCACCTCCAGCTGGAAGAGTCTGTGGAGCCAGGACAGAGGAGCAAGACCCAGAAATGAGCCAGGCGGGACCACCAGCCCACATCCCTGCTGGCATCAGAAGGCCCCCAGTCTGTGGCCTGGCCTGCTCCAGGCTGACTCCCCTCCCAAGCAAACCACACACACACACACACACACACACATACACACACACACGTAAATGACATAATGACATTTAGTGTAGCTTCTTTGTTTCTTAGAGACAAGGTCTTGCTCTGCAACCCAACCTGGAACGCGGTGGTATGATCACGGCTTACTGCATCTTCGAATTCCTGGGTTCAGGGGATCCTCCTATCTTAGCACCTGAGTAGCTGGGATGACAGGCATGCACCACCAGGCCCAGCTACTTTCATTTGGAGACAGAGTCTTGTATTGTTACCCAGGCTGGAGTATAGTAGTGTGATCTCAGCTCACTATGACCTCTGCCTCCCGGGTTCAAGCAATTCTCCTACCTTAGCCTCCCGAGGAGCTGGGATTAAAGGTATATGCCACCATGCCCAGCTAATTTTTTGTATTTTTAGTAGAGATGGGGTTTTGCCATGTTGCCCAGGCTGGTCTTGAACTCCTAGCCTCAAGTGATCCTCCTGCCTCAGCTGCCAGAAGTGCTGGGATTACATGTGTGAGCCACTGTGACTCTAGATTTTCTTTTATTTTGAAAAACTTTCCTTTTTTTGGTAATATCATTTATTGCTTTTATATTTTATTTTACGACAGCCCTGCCATATCCACTTTCTAATCTGATTTCCACATCTGAGAGCCCAGCCTCGAGTACTTGGACCCTGTTCATAGTAGGAACTAAGTATTATTTAACCTAAATGTATAGCAACAGAATATAAATTATGGTACAACTATGTAATGAACTATTATGCAGGCATTAAAATGAGGTATTTTTTTAAAAAACAGGGAATTTTTGTTTTTGAGACCAAGTTTTGCTCTTGTTGCCCAGACTGGAGTGCAACGGTGTGATCTCGGCTCACTACAGCCTCCATCTCCCAGGTTCAAACAATTCTCCTGCCTCAGGCTCCTGAATAGCTGGGATTACAGGTGCCCACCACCATGCCCAGCTAATTTTTTGTATTTTTAATAGAGACAGGGTATCGCTATGTTGGCCAGGCTGATCTCGAACTCCTGGCCTCAGGTGACCCGCCCACATTGGCCTCCCAAAGTGCTGGGATTACAGGCATGAGCCACCGTGCCCAAATGTTTATTGTTATGTAATAACAATAATGGCCAAAATATTTATTGCTATGTAATAAGCTGGATACAAGTTATATATAATACGATGTGATCTCCATTGTGTTTTAAAAAGCCTGGAAGGAAATGTGTCAGAATGTGAATGGTACCATAATAAACAATTTATGTTCTTCTTTAACCATTTTTATAGTTTCTACATTTTTTATAATAAGCACATATTCTTTTTACAATCAGATAAAGGAAGCTTTGTTCATTTGGTTTTGTTTTTGTGTTTTTGAGATGGAGTCTCACTCTGTCACCCAGGCTGGAGTGCCGTGACACGATCTTGGCTCACTGCAACCTTGCCTCCTGGGTTCAAGCGAGTCTCCTGCCTCAGCCTCCCTAGTAGCTGGGATTACAGGCACCTGCCACCATGCCCGGCTAATTTTTGTATTTTTGTAGAGACGGGGTTTCACCACATTGGCCAGGCTGGTCTTGAACTCCTGACCTCAGGTGATCCACCCACCTTGGCCTCCCAAAGTGCTGGGATTACAAGGATGAGCCACCGTGCCCAGCCAGCTTTGTTCGTTTTTAAGCATTGGGGTTGAGTCCAAGTTTTGCTATTAAGGTGCTGTGTGACCCTGGGAAATCCTTTTCTCTCTCTGAGCCACATCTGAAACATGAGACTAACTGTACCTGTCCTACCTACCTCCCAGAGGTGCTATGAGGACAGATGAAAAATCACTATAAAATCACTTTCAAAACTATAACCATTACATGTCCGTGATGTTTACTTAAAGTTCTGGCCAGGGCTTTTAACATACCAGAAGGTTTTGTCTTGCAGACCTCTACAAGCCCAGCAGCCAGCCAGAGTCCAGTGGACGCAGTGCCCAGAGAGTGCTGGCTCAACAGGGCCAGTCTGTTGTTCCACACAGAGTGCCTCGATTAACAATTAACTACTGGACAAGTGAGCTGTGCCAAATGGAGGAGTCAATTACTGAGCAATTGCATAAAATGCTCTACCCTCCTGAAGCCTATTTTTTTTTTCTTTTGAGACAGAGTCTCGCTCTGTCGCCCAGGCCGGACTGCAGGGGCAAGACATCAGCTCACTGCAACCTCCACCCCCTAGATTCAAGCAATTCTCCTGCCTCAGCCTCCCTAGTAGCTGGCATTATAAGCGTGTGCTACGACGCCTGGCTAATTTTTATATTTTTAGTAGAGATGGGGTTTCACCATGTTGGCCAGGCTGGTCTCGAACTCCTGACCTCAGTCTCCCAAAGTGCTGGGATTACAGACGTGAGCCACTGTGTCTATGTTATTATGGGGGAGATCGACAAAATGACCAAAGTGAAAACATAAAATAAGGAAGTCCGTTAAACAGACTATAAGGTAATCAGTGCTATAGAAACAACAAAAACCACGACAAAGGTAAGGCAGGAGGAGGTGGAAGGAAGCCCCTCCTCGTGGCCCTTGGCTGGGTTTTCCCTCTTACCATCAGGGCACTCCATGTCAAGTGTTGCCGACATGTCGGAGAATGACAACTGAAAACTGATCACTGGAGTTCGCATCATGGGGGCATGCACAACCTTGACAACAATCTTGCAGTGAAGTAGGGAACCAAGGCCTGATTAAAGTGAGTTTAAGGACAGGATGTGAGAAACTGAAGACTGCAAAGACACGTGATATTTTTGAGGTTTGCTGTGGAGAGGAGCAAATAAAGGGAGGGGTAGGTAATGGGAAAAGTGTAATCAGAGATTTGAATGCTGATGGGAATGATGATTCTCTCTCAGAACTTCCACTTTCCATTAACGGGAGACTAGGGAATGTAAAACAGAGCACCTACTGAGGACAGCCAGAAATGCTAGACGAGTTATTAAAAAACATCTGCTGGCAGGCACTGGATACCTAAAAAGACACTGATGACTCACCAGGCTGGAGGGAATGATGGAAACCCAGGAATTAAGCTCAGTGTTCAAGTGGCTGTCACTGGAGAGGATTGAATGGGGAGGGGATGAGCAGCACCAGTTATAACCTCGTGGGACTCAGGACACAGGGACTGGAGCCCAGGGGTCTGCCAAGAGGAGAGCCCTGATGAACATCTCTTACTCTAGGTTAGGATCCTAAAGAACTACCGAGCCTAGGAATAAGAGTGAGCCATATACAGACACGCCCTCACAGGGACCACAGTTCAGCCTCAAGCAATTTCAGCTCCAGAAACGAGGCTGAGGTTATCCTAGTTGCAAGTGTTCCCAGGTACCTGGGAGAAACAAAAATAAATCCATTCTTTATAAGGAAACATCAAACTAGCCTCCAGATTACTTCCACAAGCATACTTGCAAATACAATGTCCAGCACATAATCAAAACTCACCAGGCACATGTGGCGATAAGACATGAAAGAAAACCAACAGAAACAATATACAAAAGAAAACATTTCTGTAAGTGAGGGGCCTGTAAATATTTAAGTTATCCAAAATGGACCTTAAGGTAACTGTGATAACATTCAAGAGGTTTAAAAAGGAAATTTAGAATTTTCTCAAAGAGCCTTGAATTCTCAAAAAAAGGATCAAATGTTAATTACAGAATTAAAAAATACAATCGACAAAATTCAGAACTTGATAGCTAAGTATAACAGCAGATCGAACAATACTGAAGAGAAACCGAGTGAACAGGAAGATAGGCAGTGAAGAGTAAACACAATAAAGCATGGACAGACAAAAGAATAAAAACGTAAAGTAGACAAGAGACACAGACTATCTAATAAAAAGATCTAGCACACATATATAAGTGGAAGGCAGAGGCAGAGTAGAAGAAGAATCAGATGGAAGCCATATTTGAAGAGTTAATGCCTGCAGACTTTCCAAAACTGATTTTTTTTTTTGGAGGGGACAGAGTTTTCACACTTGTTGCCCAGGCTGGAGTGCGATGGCAGTATCTCGGCTCACCACAGCCTCCACCTACTGGGTTCAAGCGATTCTCCTGGGATTACAGGCAGCTGCCACGACACCCAGCTAATTTTTGTATTTTTAGTAGAGACAGGGTTTCACCATGTTGGCCAGGATGTGCCGCTCTCCACTCTGCTCGGTGAAGATGGGCTGTGGGTGGGATGAACAGATGGAGGAGATAGCCCCAGAGCAGGCGGCCAGGGCCCCAGGCACTCCACTTGTCCGAGGTTCCTGACAAGCAGTTTTACAGCAAAGTCCCAGTCCGGAGCGCCTCAAAAGCCAGCTCCTGGTAGGGAAGCACAGATCACATGCTTCTGTCCCACTAGGTAGGGTCATTACTGCCTGGGAGGGACAGCCCTGTTTCTGCTGAGATACCAGTGAGAAGCTGGCCAATTTCATCAAATGTCATCTGTTACCAGTCAATGCCAGCCGTAAATGATTAATTTCTACCAGGAACAGAAGTATCTATGCTATCATAATGTACACAGGCATATTACAAGTGACCCTTGGGGGCTTACACAGGGAGAGCCAGGGCCCCCGCATAGGTCAGGCAGGCAGGGCCAGGATCAGCCCAGTGGGGTGGAGCGTCACTCAGCTCACCACACTACAAGGCAGCCCTGATGTCAGAAAAGTAAACGAGTGGGTTCTATAGCCAGATGCTGGGGTGTGAATAACCACTACACTGACCAGCTGTGGGACTTCAGGGGACTTCCTTAAATTCTTCGAGCCTCTGTTTCCTCATCTGTAATAGGAGGTCAGTAATGACCCCACCTCGTGGGACTGTAGTGCGGATAAAATGACTGGGCCAAGCCCAGGCATGCGGGATACACTGCTGTCACCTTCTATATCAGCAGGGTCCAGTCTCG